CGAATCTAATCGTGCCAGTTGTCACTATTTCAGGACAATTAAACAATTACGGATTTAATGCCCTAATTGACATTAGATTACCAAATCAATTAATTATCTGGATCCAAGACAACCAATTAATTGAACAATCATAAGCACTGCAATCAAGGAATATGCGAATACCAATAAATAAAAAGGACAGATTAAATTAAATCGATCTAACAATTTTTAGGTAACTCAAAGCATCCGTCGTTTCTTGACTAGAGTGAGGGGATTAGCTCATATTGGATAAACTAAGCCCGCGGGAAATTTCAGCAAAAGTCACGGCCACTGTCTGCATTTCAAGAGCCGCAATTCGTCGAACAATCAGAGAGCAAAATAAAAGTCACAAGTAACAAGTGAAGCTCTTCATTGTTCTTAGCATCCGTAGAGCAAAGCCACTCAAAAGGTACAAGAAGGAAAAGTCAAACAAAGTAGGCTCCAATTCTTTGCTCCTGACATGCGTGGAGACCAAAGCTACTAAGAAGTCCAAGAAAAGTCAAAAGAAACAATTCCTTTTTGTTCCTGCCATGCGCAGGAAAAGGTTCTAATCAAAACGTCTAAAAGGCAAAACTAATGCTAAGCTGCGAACCCCCTTTCTTCTGCACAATTTTCCTCTTATATCCTGATGCTCCATGCGGCGGCTACTAGGCGGAAGAACACTTTAGTCAAAATGACCGAAAAGGGCTCTTGTCTCTTCTTCCAAAAATGCCCTTGCAAGCCTTCTATTTAATTTCTTTCCCGATGACTGTCAAAATGGCAGTAATTGCAGTAGTTTTGATCTACTCCCTGAAATAAGTGTAAATTAAGAAAAATGAGTAGAATCCAGCAATTAATCCATACCAAGTCAGGTAATAAGGGGAATTAATAATAAAATAAATGAATAAATTGTAACCTATCAATTCCCCCCACACCTAAACCATGCTTGTCCTCAAGCATAAGAATAGTAAACAGATACCAAAATTTGATAACGGCCATTGCTCTCTCTACCAAATTGCCAAGACACCAAGAAAATTATAAATCAAGCATCAGTGGTAAAACTCCAAAGAACATCACCCCGGTTAGCTTTTAAACTACAAACTCCTTCAATTTCCAAATTAGCTAATCTAAGAAAAAGGAATGGCGCATAACATTTATTAGCAAACAGTCCAAATATTAACCAAAGCCCCCATATTCAGTCCATAAATCGGCAAGCTGACCTCTAACATACTACTAACCCTTTTTTTTCTTTTTTTCTCATTCACTTTTTCTTTTTCTTTTTTCTTTTATTTTTTGGAACGAAATAATAATAACAATAACACGAAATGACTTAGTCTCTAACCGTTGGAGCCTTTTGAGGCGAACTCCAACATTTTTAGATGAAGGAGCCCGGTTACTCAGCTCCTACCGCTATATGACCACGTACTCATAGAAAGTACTACTTTTTGACACGAGAATCGACACTTTTAGGTGCAGATCCCCGGTTACTCAGTAGTAACTAATAGCGGAGTACAGTCAAGCTTATTCACAACCAAACAACGTAAAAACGCGAAATAACAACACTAGCAACCAAGCATAGGAGCAGCTCGCCTCATTATTGCCAAACATGGAGAACTGGAGTCAATATTGGACCAGTTCACATTAAAACGCCAACAGTCATTCCCTATGCCTAGAAAAGTTAACAAAGAAATCAAGAAAGTCAAGCAGTCCGATATTCACCAAGGAGATATCTTGGACCCAACCACATTAACTCGATACACATTTATTCTTTTTTTAAAAAAAAACTTGGCAAAAGTAGCATTAGAGGCAATAATCCAGCAAATTTTGGCATTCACATGACAGCTTATCACTAGAAAGAAAGAAAATGACTGAATGGAAATAAACAAAGAACAAACTAAAAGTTAAGGAAGCACCTAAAAACTAAAAACTACCAAAAATTAAAACACTGGCACCTTATTAGAAACCCCCCCACACCTATAGGACACATTGTCCTCAATGTGACAAATAACCAACAAAAGTGAGTGAGAGGACAGCAACACTTCCCTGAAATCCGGTCAAAGAGGTGGGCGAGGCGGAGCTGGAGGAGGAAAGCCCGTATGATGCAGAAATTGCGCCAAATTCTGTGCTATGCCAGCTACATTGAGGTCGACGTTGAGCATTCGAGCCTCCAAATTCTGAACCCGCTCCCGGAGTTGTTGCCATTTAGTTGTCCCATATGGTGGAGGTGGCGCAGAAGATGATGGCCCAGCGGTGTCCTCGGCTGACTCATGAAATGAAGAGGGCCCTGCGCGGGTCGAAGGGTGCACCCCTGGAGCTCAAACTGGTCCCGGAGGGGTGAACTGGTAGGAACCATCGGGCAGGCGCTCGACGACTCCATCTTCTCCAAGCAATCTACATCCAAGAGCTCCATCTCGCACGCCAAATGTAGGTCGTGGTTTTCCAGGTTAAGAACCCCCAACTGTGTTGCCAAGTGGGTGATATAGGACCCAAGGATCAGGGGCTTGTTCTTTTTGGCTAAGACGGTCTTGAACTGCGCCGCCAACCAACAGCCCAAGTTGACCTTGATGTTATTCTTCATACTCCAGATGAAGAAAAACTCGGGTCGAGAGAGAATGCCGGAGCTGTCCTTCCGACTGGAGTAGCTGTAGGCTAAGAAACGATGGACGTATCGGGCGCTAGGGTCCTTAAGAAAGGAGCTCCTAGACCGAGAAGGGTCGTAGCGGTCCCGATCGGTAGACATTTCTGCCCACACAACACGGTAGCGGGAGAGAAAAGGTTCTATGTAGTCACAGGCACTCTCACCATACTCCCTAGTCTCAGCATACTCTTGAGTAATGAACCCAAATGCCAGATTAAATTGGGTAATAGAAAAATTAAATTCCCGACCCATCAGACGGAAGCGGATGACATTAGGTGTCTCAACGGTGTACCTCGTGAGCAGCTCAAACTCAAAGGTAAAATAAAACTCTCGAGTCAGCTCGACAAAGGCGGGGCAGAAGATATCAAGATACGGGCGCCAGCCGATGGCTGTAAACATCTGCTCGACCTCCTCTCGTATGCCTAGACCCATCACGGTTAATTTGTCCCAAGTTTTGCAAGGTATAATACGCCGCTCACAGACCTTAGCATATCTCTGCTGATCGGCGGGTCTAGTGAAGGTTAGGTGCCCTCCAAAGTGAGCTGAGGTATCCACCTGAGCACCCCTACCCCTACCCAAGCGGGTTCGAGCACTAGAAGAAGAGGGTAGGTTGGAAGGTGTATTCACAGGAATAGATGCATGTGGAGGGGGTTGAGAACGAGAGGCCCTAGACCTAGAGGATGATTTTGGTCTCACCATGTGGAAAATCCAGCAGAAGCAACTAGCAAAAGAAACTCAGCAAAAACAAAGCAAAAATCTCCCAATAGTAACCCAATCAATAACAATCAGCAATTCAACAAGTAATTAAACCGAATATTACCAATCTCAACAAGTAATTCACGCGGCCAGCCTCCTTAATTCAACAAGCAATTTCAGAAATAACTCAACCAAAATCCCAAAAGAAACCTCAGCGAGTTATCCAGCAATTCAAGCAAAATAGTGCCCAGCAATTCACAACGAGTCAACCAATGTCCACAATCAACGTGAGGTTCAAAGTGGTCCCCAAAGTTAACAAACAAGCACAGCAATGCAGTTCACCCAAAGTCCCAACAAATGGCTCCAATTGGCCAATTAAATGCACAATTTAACCCAACCCAAAAGAAATAGCAGTTCCAAGCAAAAATAGTCCAACCAATACCACTGGCGGAAATCACCAATTGAGAAAATAAACTCCAACCGTCAACAATGCCAATTGGGGAAAATCCGAAACAGCACCAATCAATATTAGAAATTGGGGAATTAAGTCCAAATACCTCTACCAGTACCTCGTGGATTCGGGCAGAGGCGGATGGCTTCAGGCGCGCAAGTGAGACGCGTGGGTGTGGTGGCGGCGTGCCGCGGTGCTGGTGGCTCGTTCGCGGTCGTCAGCAGCGGCGGTGGTGACTTCGTCGGCACTGTGAGGGAGGATGGAGGGCGCGGGTGGTCGGCTGTCGCGTGTGGCTGAGAAGTTGCCCTGCGCGTGAGGGCCTCTGGGTCTCGTCCAAAGAGGAACGGCGGCGCAAGCTGGGCAGTGTTAAGCTTGGGCGGCGCCGCTGGCGAGTGGGGGAGCTGCGCGTGTGAAGGGTCTGGCTAGGCAGAGCTCTGGCCTGCTGCATGGAGTCTGCGGCGCGCAGCAGCGGTGGTTGTGGAGTGGATCGCTGCTGAGTGTGGGAAGAGTCGGCGGTGCTGAGAGGGGAACAGCTCGCGCGGGGGAGGAGCCCAGAGCAGCGGCGGCGTGCGGGGCTGCGGATGGTGGGCGCGGCGGCGTCCGTGTGCTAAGGAGCGCGGAGAGGCAGCGGCGAGCGATGTGAGGGACTTCGGTCAACCGGAGGAAACAGCGGCGGACCAGCAGGATAACAGAGTAGAAGAACGAAAGAAAAGAGAAAGAAAGAAAAAGAAAAAAGAAAGAAAAAGAAAAAAAAATTTCTTTGTTTTTGGTTTTTTTTTTCTCTCTTTTTTTTTTCTACGGAAAATTTTTTTTTTCTCTTTTTTTTTTTAATTTTGGAAACTAAAGCTACGGTGATAAGAAAAAAATTCCTTTTTTTTTTTTTTTGAATCCTTACCTTTCCCGCGAACGTGACGCGGGCACGTCAAGAGGGTCAAAGAGCTCTCTGACCGTGAACTTTTTGTTCGTCATGACACGGGCACGTCATGAGGGCAGGATAGCTCTCTGACTGTGAGCACTCCCTGCGAGATGACGCGGGTGCGGCGAGTCAGATAGACACCTACCACTCACCAAAAACGAAAATTTTAAGCCCGAAACCAATCAAACTCAAGGAAATAACAGTGAGATTATCACACAGAGCCAAACAAACAAGTAAAAGAGATTGGGTTGCCTCCCAATGAGCGCCTTTGTTTAATGTCTTTGACTAGACATGGTAAAGTGTCACTGATTAGGATACGGTGGTGCGTCTAGGCATATTGTTTCTACTTCTTCACTTGGAAAACCTTCGTAATAATGCTTGAGACGGTGTCCATTCACCACAAACTTTTTATCTGTCTTAGCACTCCGGGCCTCAACTGCACCATAGGGAAAAACATGAGTAACAATAAAAGGTCCAATCCAACGGGAACGTAGCTTACCGGGAAATAGTTTGAGCCTGGATTGGTACAAGAGGACCTTCTGACCAACCTCAAAATTTTTTCTAGAAATTTGCTGATCATGAAATGTCCGGTTTCTCTCCTTATAAATTAAAGCTTTTTCGTAGGTTTCGTTCCAGATCTCCTCCAGTTCTTGCAAATCCAACTTCCGTTGGGCACCGGTCTCCTCTAGGTTCATGTTGCAATGTTTTATCGCCCAAAAAGCCTTGTGCTCAAACTCCACTGGAAGATGACACGGCTTCCCAAATACCAACCTGTACGGTGACATCCCTATAGGGGTCTTGTATGCCGTCCGATAGACCCAGAGTGCGTCCTCCAACCGTTGACTCCAATCTTTCCTATCGGGGCGCACCATTTTCTCCAAAATGGATTTGATTTCCAGGTTCGATACCTCCGCTTGACCATTGGTCTGAGAGTGATACGACGTTGAGACCCTGTGGAGTACACCATACTTGCGAAACAACGCAGCTATGGTTTTGTTGCAGAAGTGTGTTCCCCTGTCGCTGACAATAGCTTTTGGCATTCCAAATCGCACAAAAATATTAGACCTGATAAAATTTGCAACTACTTTTGAATCATTAGTCCGAGTGGCCTTAGCCTCCACCCATTTAGACACATAATCAACTGCCAGCAAAATATATATAAAACCAAATGAAGTAGGAAAAGACCCCATGAAATCTATACCCCAGACATCAAAAATTTCAATAAAAATCAACGGGATCTGGGGCATATGATCTCTACGGGCTATATTACATACCTTTTGACAGCGATCACCTGACTTACAGAACACATAGGCATCCTTAAATAATGAAAGCCAATAAAATCCACTTTTTAAAATCTTATGAGCAGTTCTCTTGGGTCCAAAATGACCTCCACATGCAAAAGTATGACAAAAAGCTAAAATCGATTGAAATTCCACTTCACTTACACATCGCCTCATTACTTGATCTGCACATCTCTTCCACAAGTACGGATCATCCCAGATAAAATACTTGGTGTCGCTCTTCAATTTATCCATCTTTGATTTTGGCCAACCTGCAGGAAAATTACCCGTTACTAGATAATTGACTAAATCGGCATACCAAAGCAATTGAGAATTTAAGGAAAATAAATGCTCTTCAGGGAATGCATCTTTCAACGGCTCGCTCTCCTTCCCAACTGGTATGCGACTCAAATGGTCTGCTACTAGATTCTCTGAGCCTTTTTTATCCCTTACCTCTAAGTCAAATTCCTGTAGTAGCAATATCCACCTGATGAGCCTCGATTTGGCATCTTTCTTGGTCATTAGGTACCTTAATGCTGCGTGGTCAGAAAATACAATTACTTTAGCACCTAGCAAATATGACCTGAATTTCTCTAAAGCAAAAATTACTGCTAGGAGCTCCTTCTCAGTAGTGGAGTAATTCAGTTGAGCTCCAGACAATGCTCGGGACGCATAGTAGATGACGTGGGCTGCCGTTCCCATTCTTTGCCCCGGCACAGCCCCTACAGCATGATCACTGGCATCGCACATGATCTCAAATGGTAGACTCCAGTCAGGGGGCTGGATGATTGGGGGTGAGGTCAACAATTCTTTCAACTTGTCGAAGACTTTCTCACATTTGTCATTGAATTTTAAGGTCACATCCTTTTGTAGGAGTTGGAACAACGGGGCTCCAATTTTTAAAAAATCCTTGATAAACGTTCGATAAAAACCTGCATGTCCAAGAGAAGAACGCACCTCCCACACATTCGCAGGGTAAGGTAATGCAGATATAATATCTATTTTAGCCTTGTCAATCTCGATGCCCTTAGACGATACAATATGACCCAGGACTATCCCGTGTTCAACCATAAAATGACATTTTTTCCAATTAAGCACAAGATTAGTCTCTATACACCTCATTAGGATCAATTTCAGGTTATCTAGACATGTATCAAAACTATCACCATACACACTGAAATCATCTATAAAAACTTCAATAATTTTCTCCACATATTCAGAAAAAATACTTACCATACACCTCTGGAATGTTGCAGGTGCATTGTACAACCCGAATGGCATTCGTCTATAGGCAAAGGTCCCGAACGGGCACGTGAAGGTTGTCTTCTCTTGATCCTCTGGTGCAATTGCTATCTGAAAATATTCTGAAAATCCATCCAAAAAGCAATGGTAAGCTCTACAAGCCAATCGTTCAACCATTTGGTCAATGAAAGGGAGAGGGAAATGGTCCTTTTTGGTGACGGCGTTTAGCCTACGGTAGTCAATACACTGCCTCCATCCAGTGGGTTTGCGCACTGGCACGAGTTCATCCGTTTGGTTGGCTTCCACAGTCACTCCTGCTTTCTTTGGGACTACCTGGATCGGACTCAACCAAGAGCTATCTGATATTGCAAAAATGATCCCCACATCTAGCAATTTTAGAATTTCTTTCTTTACAACTTCCATCATTAGGGGGTTGAGCCTCCTTTGAGCCTGCCAAACAGGTTTAACATTCTCTTCTAGTCTAATCCGGTGCATACAGATGGCCGGGCTGATCCCCTTAATGTCTACGATTGTCCAACCTATCGCCTCTTTATGCTCTCTAAGGATCCGGATCAGTTTCTCCTCCTGGATTTTTGATAGTGCCGATGAGATAATCACCGAGAGTGTCTCATTGTCACCCAAATATGCATACTTCAGGTGCTCTGGTAAGGGTTTCAACTCCAAAACAGGCGCCTGCACCACCGATGGCAATACCCTCTGGTAAGGTTCGGGAATGAATATAGGTGAAACTTCGTACCTTTTTGTGGAGGTTGGCAATGAGTCTAGTGCTCCTATCGTACATTTTAAATCTTCACTCCACTCCACCTCAGGAGTTGTCTCCAACTCGAGGTGCTTGGTCAAAGCCACCTCCAACTCATCCCTGCCAACAGTTTCAAACACTTCCTACACCGCAGGGTCAATAGCACTCACAGAGAAAATAGAGCTAAAGTTGGAGTTTGAGGGATATTTCATAGTATCAAAGATATTAAAGTGCACAATTTCCCCATCAAACTCCATGGATAAGGTATCCTTATTAACATCAATTTTTGTTTGTACTGTACTCATAAAGGGTCTATCTAATAACAAAGGTGAGGGATCGGGGGAGTAGGAGTGGGCAAAAAAATCTGAAAATCCGAAAAATCGATCGACTCGCTCCGACCCGCCCCGAAAATTAGGTTATCCGACCCTATTTTTATCAGCGGAGCAGATAGGGTCGGGTACCCGTAAAATTCGGATACGGATACGGATCACAAAATCTAAAACCCGCGGGTACCCGACCCGGGGGTATATTTTACAAATATTAAAAAATATAGGGGCAAATTTATAATATTTTAAAGTTATTAACCCTAAGTTCCTAACATATCTCAGTCGACACTCCAGCCTTCAGTCTTCACTTCAGCGCCGCCGCAACTTCTTCACCTTCAGTCTTCAGACTTCACTCTTCAATCCTAGTTCCAAACACTCTTCAGCTTTCAGGCTTCTGGACCTTCAATTTCTCAAGTCCTAAACACTCAAGTTGGACAAGTGCAACGCCAACGCCGATCTTCATATAAAGGTAATTTCTCAGTCCCAAATTAGTTTTTTTGTGTCGATGATTTGATGAACCCAGATGATAAAATGTTTTCTTTTACCGGTCCTTCCAACTTGGTAAAAGTTTTCTAAAGTGAATTTGGGAAGTGTTAACATGATTGCACCTACATTTGTCACAGAAAAGCTTCATATCATTACTATTACATAATTTACATTCACTAATAAAAGGAAACTAGTGTTAAAGAGCTACCAAAAAATAGACACTGGAAATGCAAAACAAAAATTAAGACTCAGATACTTAAAAGTGAAAATGTTGCTTGATTCTCATGCTTTGAATTTCACGATTGCCCTTTCTGCAACTCATGCGATGGCTCTGAGGAAGTGATCTGGAGCTGTTAACTCATGTTTTGATAGGTTTCTGATTTTGGCAACGATGTGGAGTTGGAATTTTTCTTGAGGAATGTGTGGATATTGATTAGGAACAACTTTTATTTTGAATAAATTTGTTTGGTTAAAAGCTAAAGCAGCCGATGGACATCTAATATATGTATCAGTGCCTCCTCTGTATTTGATTGGGAGCAAAAAGAAAGGATCCCTGCACTCAAATAGGGAGTAAATTACTGCCTTCAAAATGCCATTCTTTATGGAGTAGTGATATCATTTTTACTTGATTCTCTACTGTCATGCTTTCTTAATTCTTTAGAACTAGCACAAGAAAATATGTTCTTCCTATTCTCTTTCATTGATTTTATTCCTCTTCTCTTTTTTTTTTTAAAAAATAATTAACTGGCATTATTAGTATGATGATGAGTACTATTATTATACGTTGAAGGTATGCGTCCAGTTCCATTTGCCATTTGGTATGCCGGGAATCAATTGGTAGTTGTGTCCTTGTGGAAAAAAAAATAAAAATAAAATAATGGAGGGAAAAGAATATTCAGCTCAATTCATGTTTTAGTTTTTGTACATTTAAGAATCAACCTAGTGCCGAATTGGAATTGGTTTTTGCGTTGAATGGCTACAATTTAATGGAGCATCAGTGCTGATATGCACTAAACAAATGTAGGAGTATTATTATTATGCATAGCTCTGCAACTCACTAGAAAATCTTTTTAGTTGGGATTTGATTGGATTGCTTTTAATTTGCTTTGAAAAAATGGGCTTGCAATTTTAGTTCAAGAATCAGGGGTGGATGCATGGCATTGACCAATCTTGCTTTAGCTTCTCAAGCCATTATTTGAGACTTTGACTTCTGCTTGCTTTGCTTGAATTTTTCAGATGTCAAGTACAGGGGATAATACAGCTACAACAGCTACAAGCCCAAGTGTTGATCATTCATCATCAGATCCAAAAATTGTTGCTAAAGCCTCTGAAACTGATACATGTCAAGTACCACCTCTTCCAACATCCGAGACAAAAGTGTCTAGCAAGAGTAATAGGTCTTGGGTTTGGGAGCATTACGTAGTTGTTACAGGTACGGAAACAAAAGACAAGAAAGCTACTTGTAAATATTGTGAACAACTGATTGCTTGTGCAAGCAAAAATGGTACTACTTCTTTGAGTAATCACCGTCATAGGTGTAAAAAATATCCGTATAATAGCACGGATAAGAGGCAAAAGACGCTGGAGTTTAAACCAAAAGAGGGAGGGGGAAAAGCATTAACAACCCATATGTTTGATCAAGAAGCATGTAGGAGAATGTTGGCTAGGATGGTGATTATAGATGAACTGCCTTTTAAATTTGTGGAAAGGGAGGGATTTCTGGATTTTTGTCTAGTTATGCAGCCACGGTTTGAAATGCCATCACGTAGAACTATAACTACAGACTGCCATAAGCTTTTTTTAGATGAGAAGAAAAGTTTGAAAGCATATCCTCCCGCATTTGTCTCACCACTGATGCTTGGACATCCATTCAAAATCTGAATTATTTGTGTTTGACAGCTCACTTCATTGATGATAAATGGAAATTGCACAAAAAGATTTTAAGTTTCTGTCCTATTACAAGTCATGCGGGTGAAGTTATTGGTCGGACAGTAGAAAAATGCTTGCTTGATTGGAAAATTAGTAAAGTTTTGACTGTTACGGTAGACAATGCTAGCTCAAATGACACTTGTTTGCAATATTTGAGAAGAAGGCTTATTAATTGGAAATGTATTGTCTTAAATGGAGAATACTTGCATATGAGATGTGCTGCCCATGTTTTGAATTTGACGGTTAGGGAGGGATTGAAAGACTTGGAAGACTCTATTGTTAGGATTCGATCAGCTGTGAGATATGTTAGGTCTTCACCTGCTAGAGCTCAAAGATTCAAATCTTGCATAGAAAAAGAAAGAATCGAAAGTAAAAACCTTGTATGCCTTGATGTTGAAACTAGGTGGAATTCCACATTTTTAATGTTAGAGGCTGCTCTAAAATTTTAAAAGGCATTTGAGTTGCTAGAAACTGTGGATAGCAAATATGTCGAAGAGTTGACTCCCCAAAGTGAGAATGATACTCGTAAGAGTTCTAAGATGAGGGGTGTGCCAACTGAGATGGATTGGGAGTATGCAAAAGATTTGTTGCCTTTTCTTCAAATTTTTTATGATTCTACTGTGAAAATGTCGGGCTCACGTTATGTGACAGGAAATGTATATATGAATGAAATTTTTGGCATTGGTGGTCTTCTTAATTCATTTCAAGAAAGTGATGACTTTGGTTTGTCAACTATGGCTGGAAATATGAAGAAAAAATATGACAAATATTGGGGTAATGTTGAAAGGATTAACATATTGATTCTGATTGCTGTTGTTCTTGATCCCCGGCATAAACTAAGTTATGTTCAATGGGCTATTGATGAGGCATATGATCCTAAGAATGCTGAAATTTTAAAAGTTAAGGTGGAAAAGGTGTTACATTCTCTATTTGACTTTTATTCTGCTGAAAAATCACCTTATAGGAAAGTGATAAGTCAAAATCAGTTTAGGGAAATGGATAAAATGGATGTTGATACAATTACAGTTAAAGGGGCATCAGATTACATGCATGCAAAGTATTCTCAAAAAGCTGATACATTGGATAGCACTCACAATAAAACGGAATTGGACATCTATTTGATGGAAATGAAGGAAGATTTTCACTGTCCAAACTTTCATATATTGGATTGGTGGAAAAATAATGCTCATAGGTTCCAAGTTCTTGCTGCAATTGCTAGAGATGTATTAGCTATTCCAGTGTCTACTGTTGCCTCGGAGTCTGCTTTTAGTACGGGAGGCCGTGTGTTGGATTCTTTCTGAAGCTCTTTAACTCCAAGAATGGTGGAGGCTATAATTTGTGGACAAGATTGGCTTCGCAAGGGTATTTAACCAATTGATTTGGAAGAAAGTATAACTGAGCTTGAGGAAATGGAATCGGGTAATACTATTCATATCTTGTTATCATTGCATTCAAAATTTTCTTATTCATTTGAGCTTCAACTTGTGCTAATATGTTTCTTGGTTGTTTTTATTTTTTGAAATTTTTTTTTAGGTTTGACAGAGGAGCATTCTATTATTAATATTGAAGATTGATGATTCTTGAAGATTGTACTCCTTAATGTGTTGTAGAAGGTTAAGGTGATTGTAGCTGGAATTGGGAAATTTTGTTGTATTTCTAACTTTATGGCTTGGTGTGGAACTAAATAATTTGAATACTGCTATTGTCTTTGTCTCTGTCTTGGGCTGGACGTACGGCAGGTTCATCTTCTAAGATGAAATTGCAAATTTGTTTGTTTTTGCTATTGTCTTTGTCTTTGCATTCATACAGGAATTTGCATTCTTTAATAGGGGCGGGTACCCTATGACCCGCCCCTATTTTTCGGGTATCCGAAGATCGGGTACCCGAGGGCAAGCGGAGCGGATTAGGGTCAAAAAAGTAATGACCCGACATGTTAGGGTCGGGTCAGCCATTTGACGTTCGGGGCGGGTACCCGACCCGTGCCCACCCCTACGGGGGAGTGATCATCATCCATATCAAGTACATAAAAATCAGATGGAAACACCAAATCATTAACTTTCACCAACACATCTTCAACCAACCCATCAGGGTATGCATTGGTTCGATCAGCTAATTGAATAATTTTCTCAGTTTCTTTTAATGGATCTAGCTTTAGAGAAGCATATATAGATTTAGGCATGACATTAATTGATGCTCCCAGATCCAACATGGCCCTTCTAATCACAGTGTTACCTATCCTACAAGGGATAGTAAACATACCTGGGTCCCCGCACTTGGGTGGAAGCTTTCTCTGCAGGACTGCTGACACATTCTCCCCAACAATGACTCTCTCATCTCCCCTCAACCTCTTTCGGTTGACACACAAGTCCCTTAGAAATTTGGCATATTTTGGTACTTGTTTGATCGCGTCTAACATGGGGATATTTATCTCAACCTTGCGAAAAACCTCCAAAATCTCCTTCTCCTTATCCTGTTTCTTTGATTTTTCCAACCTGTTAGGAAAAGGAGGCGGGTTA